AGGCAAATTATGTGTTAAAGCAGTTGTTCTTTACCATTTCCATGTGGTGTCCCCTTGATTACATGGCAAGGTGCAAATTATGTGTTAAAGCAGTTGTTCTTTACCATTTCCATGTGGTGTCCCCTTGATTACATGGCAAGGCAAATTATGTGTTAAAGCAGTTGTTCTTTACCATTTCCATGTGGTGTCCCCTTGATTACATGGCAAGGCAAATTATGTGTTAAAGCAGTTGTTCTTTACCATTTTCATGTAGTGCCCCCTTGATTACATGGCAAGGCAAATTATGTGTTAAAGCAGTTGTTCTTTACCATTTTCATGTGGTGTCCCCTTGATTACATGGCAAGGCAAATATGTGTTAAAGCAGTTGTTCTTTACCATTTTCATGTAGTGCCCCCTTGATTACATGGCAAGGCAAATTATGTGTTAAAGCAGTTGTTCTTTACCATTTTCATGTAGTGCCCCCTTGATTACATGGCAAGGCAAATTATGTGTTAAAGCAGTTGTTCTTTACCATTTCCATGTGGTGTCCCCTTGATTACATGGCAAGGCAAATTATGTGTTAAAGCAGTTGTTCTTTACCATTTCCATGTGGTGTCCCCTTGATTACATGGCAAGGCAAATTATGTGTTAAAGCAGTTGTTCTTTACCATTTCCATGTGGCGCCCCCTTGATTACATGGCAAGGCAAATTATGTGTTAAAGCAGTTGTTCTTTACCATTTCCATGTGGCGCCCCCTTGATTACATGGCAAGACCTCCACCCACCCCCTACACCCCTCCCCACTTTTTTAAAGAAAATATGATTAAAGAAAGAGGACAAATAAGAAATTTTTAAAAATCTAGGGACTGCAAACAAGAACTTGAAAAAAACCTTCAACACAAATCAAAAGTGTCTACGACAACAACAACAACAACAAAAACAACAAAAGTAAATCACCTACAACTCAACCGGTGATTTAGTTTCCAAATGTCAGTCAGTGTGATGGCTGACTTTGTTTTGTTTTGAGATGCTTGTTTTTGGTACGATACTGGACGCGGCACATGGGAGATCACTCTGCACAGCAAGTTGGCAGTGATGTTTTCTTGTTTTGGCAGTCATTATATCATTTCTAATAAAACTCAGAGCTATCTTATAATATCAAACTTACTTGAACCCTCTCCACCCACCCCCCACCTCACCCTTAAAGTAAAGGATGAGAACACCCTGGTCTTTTAAAAGAACCTGACACGGAGAAATCTGACTGTCCCACATCAAAAGGAGACAGTCTACATTCTTTGGTCATGTCATAAGAAGGAGAAATCTGGACGGTGGGGAGGCTGGGGAGGAAAAGAGGGATGCCAGGCGAGAAGATGCTGGGTTGTTTGGCAACATGGCATGGCATTTCATTTGTGACAGTGCTGATTCAAAGTATACGAGATAGAAGGCTGTGATGTTTATGACAACCAACGCCACACGGCATGGAAGATTATCTGTGTCTATACTGATTCAAAGTATACGAGATAGAAGGCTGTGATGGTTATGACAACCAACGCCACACGTCATGGAAGATTATCTGTGACTAAACTGATTCAAAGTATACGAGATAGAAGGCTGTGATGGTTATGAAAACCAACGCCACACGGCATGGGAGATTATTTGTGACAGTACTGATTCAAAGTGTAAGAGATAGAAGGCTGTGATGGTTGTGACAACCAACGCCACACGGCATGGAAGATTATTTGTGACAGTACTGATTCAAAGTATACGAGATAGAAGGCTGTGATGGTTATGACAACCAACGCCACACGGCATGGGAGATTATCTGTGACAGTGCTGATTCAAAGTGTAAGAGATAGAAGGCTGTGATGGTTATGACAACCAACGCCACACGGCATGGAAGATTATCTGTGTCAGTACTGATTCAAAGTATACGAGATAGAAGGCTGTGATGGTTATGACAACCAACGCCACACGGCATGGAAGATTATCTGTGTCAATACTGATTTAAATTACACGAGACAGAAGGCTGTAAAGGATATGACAACCAACGCCACACGGCGTGGAAGATCATATGTGACAGTACTGATTCAAAGTATACAAGATAGAAGGTTGTGCTAAAAGAAAAAGAAAACAGGAGACAGGAGAGAAGGACCAAGGGAGGAGGAGAACGAGAGCAGCAGTAGGAAGAGAAATAACAATAGTTTCGTAAAGGGGTTAAACCAATAATTCCCCGGGACCGAAATGGTTAAAACAGTAGGAATAATCCGTCATGGGTTTAAAAGTTAACTTAACCTCTTAACCGGCTCTTTCATAGCTCGGCACGTCGCGAAGTAAACTCTCACATTTGCATATAAACTAAATATTACGGCATTTGATATCTGGCATCCGAGCAGAAAATTGGTTCCCGGAGCGACAGACTGGCAACCAGTGGTTAATACTCGCCCAACCACCCTGGGTGTGACAGAGACTTAGCAAAAGATGTGACCAGAATGGGCAGATATTCTGCAGACTTCGCCAGCCAAACTAAGTTAGTGACAGACAGATGACTTCGGATGGGTTCTGAAGGGGGCTGAAGTGTAAATTCAATTTTGAAGCTTGGCCAGTAGACAGACTAGGAAATGAAGCCAAAAAATTGTTCAATACTAAATTAGGAAAAGATAGTGCCCGCGTTATGTATTAGTGATAAAACTGAGCTGGTAAGGACAGAGGTGATGTGGTAACGATTAGGTAACTTAGTGTACTGGAATAATTTGTCATAGCGTTACTTAACAAGGCATCTGCTGAAACAAGGAATTTAAAAATGACTGTTTGGTTTTCGGTTTGTATAAGAACGCTTTCATCATAAACGAAAAACGTCGTTGTTGTCTTAGTGTCAATCTACTCTTAGAGCTTACACAGGGTGAATTCCAGCACAGTGCTAAAACAAGACAAAAGAATAGTGATTAGATAGGATTATCATCACAGCACTCCAGACAGATCCATATATGCTTTGATCTCCTATTAAAAGCTCCACAAGTGTAAAACGACTGATGACGCATGTTCCGTGTTGGTTACAAGAAAAATGAACGTATGCCAGAATGGTAAATGCTACAAATATCGCTAGCTCGCAGTCGCGCGCGCGCGCGCGTGTGTGTGTAAGTGACAGAGACAATGTGTGGTTGTCTGTTCGCGTGTGTGCCTGTATGTGAGTGGTGAGAGTGAGTATGTGACAGTGTATATGACGGAACATGTGCGTGCATGTGTGTGTGAGTATTCGTATGTGCGAGTGTTTACGTGTCTGTGCGGGAACACTGTGCGTGTGTTTAAGTGGATGTGTGTGCGTGTGGATATGTGCGTGCGTACATGTGTGTGTGTGCGCGTGCGTGTAGATGTGTGTGTGTGTGTGTGTGTGGGTGGATGTGCGTATGGGTGGTATGCGCGTGTATGTATAGTTGGAATCTTTTTTGCAGATTTTGTTTCGCCAGTCGATACTTTTATCTGCCACCCAAAAAAAAAAAAAACAGGTACAAAATCTCCTCACGTTGGCTTCCTCTGTAAAATAACGTCTTCGTCATGTATTGATATCTCTCTTATTGTCTGTCCCCTAGTACGAGAGAGGACATCGTCATCATCATCATGTGCCTAGCCGACTGGCGTGGGCGGTCATGTCTCTTAACAATCTGCGATCTCCTGCAGCATGTAACAGTTCGTGTTTCGACACACCTCCATGGCACGCATACATGAGTCTACTCCAGAACCGCGTTTACTGTCTACATCTACTACTTTTTTTTTTTTTTTAGAGTAGCGACAACCAGGTGAGGGGGAGGGGGTGGTGAGGCGGAGGATTTAGGGTCATGTGGCTGGTACAGTGCCAGCAGACTGCGCAGGGTGCAGTCAGTTCCAGATGTCATCATCATCATGTAGCAGGCCCTTTGCAGAGTGTCGCTCTCATCACGGTCTGCCTGAAAGAAAATCGGTCTCTCGCCAGCTCTCCCGCCTCATGCACTTTCATACTCAAGAAGTCACTTATATCATGTGCCCATCTACGTGGTGGTCGGCCCCTGCCTTTCCTTCCTGGTGTTCCAGGTGTAGCACCTCAAATTAACCAAATCTGTGACTATAACTGTTGTGTGCTAGCAGCTAATCATGATCTCCATGTTCATGCTTGACATAGTTGCCTGGTAAACGCCGCTGTACTCTTTAATTGTTTTCCCCATCCATTGTGCTGTGCTGATCTTAATTGGCGCCTCAGGGATCCATCTGTGTAGATAATGATGTATTCTGGATGGGAATGTTGATCTGTCAGTGCCTTTACCTCTGTGTCTACCGCCGCAGCAGTCCGATCCCCTACAGTACCTCCTCAGTGTGATGACAAACTTTAAAGATGCCATGCATGTCTAGCTAAACTTTAAAGTACCTATGACAAACTGTTATTCTCCTTGCTGCCTTTTTAGGTTTGAGGTTTAAACAACGGATCAACATCATGGCACACGGGTAGTAAACATATAAGTGATTCGTTCTTCTTCTAACTCAAGTCTGAGTCTGAAGAAGCCCAGCACAGTGCATAGGCTCTGTAGCACCGGTGAGGATCCTAAAACACTTTGGAAAAAAATTTTAATCCCAATTTTAGCCCGGGCAGCGTCGTTAGGCTACTCTTTTCGATTTCCAACTGCCAAGAGATTTTTTGCGTGCGCAACAATGCACACGGGCGTCCGATCTTATTACCCAGAGACCAGGGGAAATTACTAGAAATTTAAGTCCATGTGAAGAAATCCCAGCTCTTACCGGGAATTGAACCCGTAACCTCTAGCACTCGAAGCGGACACCACATCTCAAGACCATGCAGACTCCTTACTTTCTTCCCTAATAAAAACTGAGTCAAAACGTTTGTTTGTCATCAGCATGTGTTCCACATGTGTTTCAAAGGGTCGGCACAACATGAGCAACTGTTTCAAAGGGTCGTCACAACATGAGGAACTGTTTCAAAGGGTCGTTACAACATGAGGAACTATATTAAATGGCTGCGGCTTGAGGAAGATTGAGAACCCCTGACTTATAGAGACCGACCGATCTGTTTGATAAAACGCAGTTTGTTGACTTCCTCTTTAGTTCCATACAGCCCTTCCTCTTTAGTTCCATACAGCCCTATCTCTTTAGTTCCATACAGCCCTTCCTCTTTAGTTCCATACAGCCCTTCCTCTTTAGTTCCATACAGCCCTTCCTCTTTAGTTCCATACAGCCCTTCTTCTTTAGTTCCATACAGCCCTTCCTCTTTAGTTCCATACAGACCTTCCTCTTTAGTTCAATACAGCCCTTCCTCTTTAGTTCCATACAGACCTTCCTCTTTAGTTCAATACAGCCCTTCCTCTTTAGTTCCATACAGCCCTTCCTCTTTAGTTCCATACAGCCCTTCCTCTTTAGTTCAATACAGCCCTTCCTCTTTAGTTCAATACAGCCCTTCCTCTTTAGTTCCATACAGACCTTCCTCTTTAGTTCAATACAGCCCTTCCTCTTTAGTTCCATACAGCCCTTCCTCTTTAGTTCCATACAGACCTTCCTCTTTAGTTCAATACAGCCCTTCCTCTTTAGTTCCATACAGCCCTTCCTCTTTAGTTCAATACAGCCCTTCCTCTTTAGTTCCATACAGCCCTTCCTCTTTAGTTCCATACAGCCCTTCCTCTTCAGTTCCATACAGCCCTTCCTCTTCAGTTCCATACAGCCCTTCCTCTTTAGTTCCATACAGCCCTGAGTATGTTGTTGATTCACTGGACCAGTGTTACCATCTAAACAGCTCAATGTAGGCTGTGCGTACGCATCTGCCCATTTACATTCTGTTGTTATCCACTTACTGTTCCACGCCATTTTAGCCTTATCTCCTTGCAAAATCACACGTGAACTCCCCATTGAACACACGCATCTCTTAGACACCATCTGAATACGACCAAACGCTTGACCTGTCACAAGCAACGAGTCGAGTTGACCTTCTCTCATCACCTCGTAACAACCACATGACATTTCATAATTATCAGACGAGATCGTTTCACGCCTTGTTTTGACCATGTCCTCACGTGTTGGAAACGATTTATAAAAGAGAAACTGCGAATTTACAAAATGGTGACTCCGAAAGGTGTGATATTTGTATGTTTGTCTTGTCGTAAAACGATTCTCCTAGCTCTTGAAAGGTTCTGTCGTTTCTATAGTGCAGCGACAATTACAGAAATCATTACTTTGTTAATTTCTTCAAGTCATTATGTCTAAACGTGACCCCCTCCCCCAAATCCTTACCCTCCCCCTCCCCTTCTTGTTTGTATCAAAGACTATCTGTTTTGTGTTTGCGTTTACGGTTAAATTGGGAATTTAGTTTCTGCTAGCCTTCGGTCATCTCTCTCCCTCTCTCTCTCTCTGTCTCTCTGTCTCTCTGTCTCTCTGTCTCCCTGTCTCTCTGTCTGTCTGTCTGTCTGTCTGTCTGTCTGTCTGTCTGTCTGTCTGTCTGTCTGTCTGTCTGTCTGTCTGTCTGTCTGTCTGTCTGTCTGTGTCTGTCTGTGTCTGTCTGTCTGTCTGTCTGTCTGTCTGTCTGTCTGTCTGTCTGTCTGTCTGTGTCTGTCTGTGTCTGTCTGTGTCTGTCTGTCTGTCTGTCTGTCTGTCTGTCTGTCTGTCTGTCTGTCTGTCTATCTCTCTATCTCTCTATCTCTCTATCTCTCTATCTCTCTGTCTCTCTGTCTCTCTGTCTCTCTGGCTCTCTGGCTCTCTGTCTCTCTGCCTGCCTGCCTGCCTGTCTGTCTGTCTGTCTGTCTGCCTGCCTGCCTGCCTACCTGCCTGCCTGCCTGTCTGTCTGTCTGTCTGTCTGTCTGTCTGTCTGTCTGTCTGTCTGTCTGTCTGTCTGTCTGTCTGTCTGTCTGTCTGTCTATCTCTCTATCTCTCTGTCTCTCTGTCTCTCTGTCTTTCTGTCTCTCTGTCTCTCTGCCTGCCTGCCTGCCTGTCTGTCTGTCTGTCTGTCTGTCTGTCTGTCTGTCTGTCTGTCTGTCTGTCTGTCTGTCTGTCTGTCTGTCTGTCTGTCTGTCTGTCTGTCTGTCTGTCTGTCTTAATTTTACGGAACATATTTTCATTAGGCTTCTTCTCCTAACAAAATGGTATATCCCCACCATACAGCGCCCAACCACCCCCCCCCCCCACTACGTGTCCTGTTTTTTTTTTATGCGCCCACCCCCTCCCTTTCCCGGAAAGTACAACTCGGCATAGTCTCATTAATGTATAATCAAGTACAGAGACGTATACATAACGATTTGCACGTTGAAACAATTCGTCATCGATATGTTCTCACAACCTCTAGTTTCATATAATCGACAGACGCACAGTTCTGTTTTAAGTTGTTGTTGCAGTGTGATTATCATCACCATCATCGTCTGCCTCCTACGTTTTTCTTCTCCTTTTCTCATTCTCCTCCTCACTACTTCTCCGCTCACCATCCTCCTTTCCTTTTCCGCTCCTCCTCATCATCTCCCACTTTTCCTCACCCCCTCTGATGTTGGACTTTGGCAATTTGTAGAGACACTGGCAGACATATAAAGGTCACTTTGACTTTTAGGGATAAGAAGCTTTTTTCCACTAGGAGCTCGGCCCATTTTACCGAGGCCTATCCCCCACGACGTTTCGTGGCGTCGACGGCCAGATCGAAGCCCTTTCAGGCGCTTCGTCCATATGTTTGTGTGCCTGTTAACGCTCTTTCCTCTCAAGCCAAGCTGCTACAGTACAATGTACGTGGAGGTGGAGAACAGGCCTTTTGGGCCTAGCTCCTCGATGGCGATGAAGTTTACTGTGTGTGCCTCATCTCTCCCCAGACCGGCCACCAGACCATCATACTTTTTGAGCTTGTACAGATGATTGTATAGCTCTAATGACAAACGAATTCACATTTTACTGTTAACAGAATCAGGATACTTCAATATACAAATTCACTAATTATGATAGCATAACTGGATACCTTTACAGCAGCATTTGGATGTCGTGAGAGCAGAATTTGGATTCTGTGACGGCAGAATGTGGATACTGTGAAAGCAGAAATCGGATTCTGTGACGGCAGAATCTGGATATTGCGAGAGCAGAATTTGGATAGTGCGAAAGCTAAAAATTGGATTCGGTGACAGCAGAATTTGGATATTGCGAGAGCGAGCAGAATTTGAATATTACGAAAGCAGAATTTGGATTCTGTGGCAGCAGAATTTTGATATTGCGAGAGCAAAATTTTGATACTGTGAGATCATAGTTTTGATACCATGACAGCAAATTCTAGATACGGTGACAGTAGAATTTGGATACCCTATAGCAGAATTCAGAGAAACAGTGTCACTATTAAAATAAGTAAGAACGTGCTACTGATTGAATCATGGGCAGTAAACAACTGTGGGAAATTGTGGAGTGAAGAGATGTGATTCTATGGAAGAATGATTGGTTTGGTTTTGTGCGACTGTGAGGCTAAAAAAAAAAAGGCACTGAGAAGATAAGGAGCACACACAACGTGGAAGAGAAGGTTGCTTCAGAAATTGTAACTGTAATACTGAGACGATTCAGACTACGTGGCAGGAGATTGAATACAGTATAGACATCATTACAGCTACAAACAGTATTCATAACGAATCGTACTAGATAAGTATACAAAAGTTCAAACGTTTTCTGAACACTTTAAGACGTTACATACGTATGTACAGTAAATTTTCATTTTACAACAACATTAAAAATCCTGGCAATTTTTCTCTATAACCAAGCATTATCCTTATCGATCTCACTGCTTATCGGGCATTTCACATGCTTTCCCAGTCCTGCTCATCATCATTATGTGGGGGCCGATAAACATAGATTGTCACGATTCCCAGTCTAACACAATCACCAGATTCTAGATCAGGTCAGTGTTCTGATCTCGTTCCGTCCAAGGAGCAAGCCATTACGGTATTGATCTCTTTGCCTAACGTTTGCTCTTTCTTCATCAAACTTGCCAGTCATCACAAAGTTTTCCTGTCCTCTCCCTCTCATTACATAAACAAACAATAAAACAGAGACTGTCAGTCTTCTGAACAATGATAAAGACCAGTCATAGATTAAATATCTTACTGAAGATTCACAGATCAAATGATTTTGCCATGCAACATGACTGACAACAGTCAGGAAGTTTTTCGCCAGGGGCACAGATGAGTTTCATTTATTGTGTACAGTAGTCCCATGTAGTCACTTCATAGTTAGAGCATATTTGTGTATGTGTACTGTATTGTTCTTTGTGTGCTGATGAAGGCTAATCGCCACAACGTCCTTTGTTTGTTTTTTGTGATAGATTTTGTAAAGCTAACATAAACTGTTTGTTTTTTCTTACCAACTTGTTCTCGTCCCTATAATTTCCTAACCCTTTAAAAACTGACAACAGACAGAAAACTGCAGAAAGTAACGCTACACAGATACAGAGGTAACAACGCAGAATATGGACCGCGGAAATATCAGAAACAACGAAAAGTACTTTATACAAAGCGAACGAAAGGGCTCGTTCCAGAGATCTCTCCCTGTCCTGACGCTGCTGGGGCATTCCAGGAGCGGAAAAGAAGAAAAAAGAAAAAAAAGGAAAAAGGAAGAAAAAATAATAATCATAATAATAATAATAATAATAATAATAATAATAATAATAATAATAATAATAATAATAATAATAATAATAATAATAATAATAATGATAGTAATAAAAAAGAAGAAGAAGAAGAAGAAGAAGAAGAAGAAGAAGAAGAAGAAGAGACGAAGAAGAAGAAGAAGAAGAAGAAGAAGAAGAAGAAGAAGAAGAAGAAAGAAGAAGAAGAAGAAGAAGAAGAAGAAGAAGAAGAAGATGAGATGAAGAAGAAGAAGACGAAAAGACGAAGAAGAAGAAGAAGAAGAGAAGAAGAAGAAGAAGAAGAAGAAGAAGAAGAAGAAGAAGAAGAAGAAGAAGAAGAAAAAGAAGAAGAAGAAGAAGAAGAAGAAGAAGAAGAAGAAGAAGAAGAAAGAAGAAGAAGAAGAAGAAGAAGAAGAAGAAGAAGAAGAAGAAGAAGAAGAAGAGAAGAAAGAAGAAGAAGAAGAAGAAGAAGAAGAAGAAGAAGAAGAAGAAGAGAAGAAGAAGAAGAAGAAGAAGAAAGAAGAGAAGAAGAAAGAAGAAGAAGAAAAGAAGAAGAAGAAGAGAAGAAGAAGAAGAAGAAGAAGAAGAAGAAGAAGAAGAAAAGAAGAAGAAGAAGAAGAAAAAAGGAAAAAAAAAGAAGAAGAAGAAGAAGAAGAAAAAGCAAAAGAAGAAGAAAAAAGAAGAAAGAAGAACGAACGAACGAACATCATGTTCAGAGGGTCACAAATGAGGCACGCAGGCCGGTCTTACATTTGGCCCTCCAAAACACCCATCTTTCCCACAGCAATTGTATTTTATCTATAAAGCATGTTATGTTCATGTAATAATACATACACACGCAAACCCATTCACTCATTTACACACACACACACACGCACACATAGGCACCCAATGCACATAATCGCTTTTTGACAAGAAGCAAGTTTGGAGGGTTACAGGAGGCAACAGAGACGAAATGAAAAAAAAAAGTTAACAGGAAACTGCAGAGATTTTGTTTTTTATAGACACTTGATTCAAAATTCATAGAGAGAGACGAAATCTGTAATGAAGATTTCTTCAAAGAAATTGACCGAGAGAGAATTATTGCCTGCATCGGAAGTACAGTAACCATTATTCAAGTTTTTATAGGTCACGAAAAGAGAACAGCGTATGTATGTTTTTAAAGGTAAAAAAGTC